TCCAGTTTTGCCAGCACCATTTATTAAACAAACATTCTCTTCTCCATTTAATGGATTGTGGCCCTTGTCAAAGATCAGCTGACTATAGGTGGATGGATCTATTTCTGGGTTCTCAATTCTATTCCATTGGTCTGTGTATCTGTCATTAAACCAATACCAGGCAGTTTTGACTATGTGGCTCTCTAGTAGGTTTTGAAAACCGGCAGTGTAAGACCTCCTACTTTGTTCTTCTTCAATAGTGTTTTGGTTATCCAAGGTCTCTTTTCCTTTCCATATAAAGTTAGTGATTGGTTTTTCCATATCCCTAAAGAATGTTGATGGGATCTGGATTGGGATTGCATTGAATGTATAGACTGCTTTGGGTAGAATTGATATTTTCACAATGTTCAGTCTTCCTATCCACGAGCATGGGATGTTCTTCCATTTATATAGATCTCTTGTGGTTCTGAAGATACTATCTTGTATAACGAGGTTAGAGGGTGTGTTGGTTTCTTGTGCCGCTCCAACAGAAAAACAACAGATGGGATGGCTTTAACAAACAGAGGCTTATTCTCTTATAGTTTAGGAGGCTAGCGGTCACAAGTTCAATGTGCCAGCATCTAGGGGCTGGCTGAAAGCCCCTCAACTTTGGGCTTCAGCTCTTCCTCTTGCTTCCAGCCCCCTGAAGCTGAAGGCTCTTCTTAGCTCAGGCAGCTTCTGGGGCTGGCAAACCCAAGCTCGACAAGTAAAAAGTCACAATCCCAAGATAATCAAACAACATGGCAGGCCACTAGTTCAAGTCCATAAAAGTCCCAAGAATGGCAGGGCATGGCAGGCTGCTGAGTGATCTTGGCTACCTGCAGGGTCCAAATATGTCAAAAAGCTGCAGAGATCTTTCTTATTTACAGGAAGCAGAACACATCTCTAAGGCAGCTACTCAGCTGCTCCAGTAGATTCCACCATGGAGTTGATTACCAATCTCATCATGGGGAATAACTGCTACATCCAGCTGCCCAGCTAGTCAAAACCAGGCCCAGCCAAGTTGACACACAATTTAACTACCACAGAGGGTATCATGTCAATTTGGTAAATTAACAGTTTGATGTATCCCCAAGGATCCAGCTCATTTTCATCTTTCTTCTCTTCCATCTTAATCACATATTTTTATTTCAGGATGATATCAGTAGTTTTAGACATTTCATCTTCACTAAAGAACATTTCAAGATCAGCAAGAGGACATTCCTTATGTTTTGTTTTTAAGGTCAAATAAAACCTTCCCAGAACCACTCATCCCATTTTATTGATCAGAATCCATCCATCACATACATGCTCATTTGAAAATCAGCCACTGGATACGTTGGTAAATAGAATTACAGGTATGCGTCACTTAGCATGCACGGTATGTTCAGTAAATAAGATGCTATGCAGTTAGGATGTTGTGTGAACACCATGCCATGCTATATACAGGCAGTCCCCATGCTATCAGTAGTCAAATCCCTGTACAGCCTATTATATTAAAACCTTATGGAGCCTGCCAAAGCTTGAGAGCTGTATCCATTGGATACAGGAGAATAACTTTGTTCATTGTGTGGCTGGCCTGGGTTGGGCTTTGTACTGGTAGCCAGATTGGGACTTTGAGCACATCTGGGCCCAGGGCCGGGAGTGGGTGATGTGGAGAAATGAATGCAGGGAGTGGGTTGCGGGTTGTGGGAGTATGACTGGCGGTTGTGGTCCTGGCTGCAGCTACCAACACTGCCGTCAGGAACCAGGACCTGCGAGTGCCCCGTGCCTGGCTGCCACTTTCAGCACTGGTGGCAGGCACTACCCTTTGTTGGCAGTGAAAGACTGGATGGATGAATGAAGTTAGATGGAGGGGAAGGAGAGGCACTGCAGAGACTGGAATGTATCCTGGAGCCCTGTGCTCATTCATTCTAGGGGTTTGGAGTCTTTTAAAGCATTAGGGGGGAATAATAAACAACAGGAGAGCTGCTTTCCCTTTTCAAAAATTAAACGACCTTATGGCACGACAGACATCGTCAGAATAGATCTTAGGTGACAGATACCTGTACTATTTAAAGGGTCTATCTCTAGACTTTTACTACTTTGACTAGTAACATTAGATATCAGTATATATGGTCTACTCAATTAGAGTCAGCGTTTAAGTAAGATTTCCCAGTCATTTGATTATACATTAGTATTTGAGAAGTACTCCTCTAGATGAGTCAATATTTAATAAGCCGCTGGGACTAAGAGAAGCTCACTTGTAAAAGAACGTTGTTGTGGTTGCTGCTGCTATGGTTTGTCACCAAGTTGATTTTGACTCATAGTGGATTCTGTATGACAGAGTAGAACTGCCCCTTAGGGTTTCCTGGACTGTAATCTTTAAAGCCTGGCACAGTGGTTAAAGTATTCACGGGCTAACAAAAAGATGGGTGGTTTGATCCTACCAGCCAGTCTTCAGGAGGACTATGTAGTAGTCTGCTTCTGTAAAAGGTTACAGCTTTAGATTTTCTCTCTCCTTCCCTCCCCAGTACCCATCAGAGAATGGTTCTTTGCATGTGTAAACCTTCCTTGACTTTTTATAATAAACTCATGCAATATTTGACCTTTTGTGATTGACCTATTTCTTTCATCATAATGTGCTCCCAGGTTATTCTATGTTATTCAGTGTTTTGAGGATTCTTTGTTGTTATTTAACACTGCATAGGCATGTAGTGCCTAAGGCACTTGACTGCTAACCAGAAGGCTCATGGTTCAAACCCACCAGCCACTCCTCGGAAGGAAGGTTGAGCAATCTACTTCCATAGTGTTACCGCCTCGGAAACCCAAGGAGGGGTCGCTATGAGTTGATCCAACTCGACGGCACGTAACAGCAACAATAGCAGTATTCCATTGTGTGTGTGTACCATAGTTTGTTTATCCATTCATCTGTTGATGGGTGCTTAGGTTGTTTATATCTCTGTTGATGTGAAAAGTGCTGCAGTGAACATGTGTATGCCTATGCCTGTGTCCTAGCTCTCATTTCTTTAGGATATATGCTTCGTAATGGATTGCTGGATGAAATGGTGTTTCTATTTCCAGCTATAAATGATCAGAAAAAAAGAAACTACGCACACATCTAACCACCTACAACAAAAAAAAGAAAAAAAAATGAGAAGACATTATTAGCTGCCAAACCAGCAGCCATTCCCACATAGTCCTATCCCCTCTTCCTTTCTCAGAGTCTTAATTTGTTCAGGTATTTTAGAACCTTATTTTTATAGGAAGAGGAAAAAGATGAATAGGAGTATGGTTGGTCCTCCATCTTGAATAGAAAATCTGTTGTTTTTCTTAATTGAGCCTGTAAAATATTAATAGTATGTATATTATGATGTGCAAAACTTAAAAATCCTATGCCTAATAACCACCACTCATTTGTCTGTTTGTAACCAAGAAGTTTACTGTGATAAAGTTGAATATTTAAATTGAGACAAGCCTTAATGAGGTTTGTAGTATTTTTTTCTGGCTGTGCAAGATTTCTTAGTTTAAGTTTATTAATACTGTTTTATAGTATTTTGTGAATTAGATTTTGTACATTTTTTGTATTTTTTTTAGTTGACTATATCGTGGAGTATGACTATGATGCTGTACATGATGATGAATTAACTATTCGAGTTGGGGAAATCATCAGGAACGTGAAAAAACTACAGGAGGAAGGATGGCTTGAAGGAGAGCTGAATGGGAGAAGGGGAATGTTCCCTGATAATTTTGTTAAGGTGAGTGTTCTTAGTTAAATTTCTAGCTATTGCTTTATAGAATTTAAGCTTTACTTGTTAAGAAATGTGTTTTTTTAGTATGTGAATGTTTTAATTAAGTTTTTACTCTGTATAATATAAGAAAATGGAGGTTCAGGTACCTTTATAATGGATATAATTGTTAAATGTGGTGGATGATAACTGGGGTATGTGTGTATCTGTCTTTAATTTTAATAAATAATACTTTGTATTTGTGTGGCACTTTGTAGTTTAGAAAATAGCTTTGTTGCATACATTCTCATTAGAAGCCAGTAATAGTTTTCCAAAATAAATAGGGCATGTATTAGCTCCACTTTAAATATTGTGATATTTAGACTGAGGGTTAAATAGTTTGCTGGTTATGGTTAGCAAAGACAGTCTGAATTTAAGACTAGAATAGTTGCCTCTTACTCATTGGTCTTCCCTTTGTATCTCGTTGGTTTTCCTGCTCTTTTAAGATGTATTAGTTTTTTTTGAAGCAGTTATCTGAGCTGAAACCAAAGTAACAATTACTCTTCAACTAACAACATTCCTTTGTTTTAGTAAATACTTCTAGTCACCCTTACCAGGAAAAAAAAAATATGTTTAAGACTCTTAAATCTATTACAAACTAATATAATTCTCAATAGTTCAGAAAAGGAAAAAAGCAAGGAATATCTTTATTCTTACATGTCTCCTGTAATTGTTTTATTTTCTTTGTTAATTTTCTTACGGTCAGCCACATCCTCTAACCTCATTAAATTAGTATTGTGAGTTTTGGAAAACCAGAGTGTGTCTTCATTTGTTTTTCTAACTTGCAGTAGTAGTCGTTATCAGAATGCCTGCACAGTATAGTTATTTGTTCCCTGAATAAATCTCTGCTTGTTTTGGTTGGGGTTTCACATCCAGGGATGAACACATTCTTCACTTTTCTTAAATGATTTCAAATAATATAACTACTGACTATATTTAAGTTCTTGAAACAGCCGAGAAAAGCTACAGTAGGGAATTGAACTTAGTTGGGAAGACCACTTTGTTTTATAAATTAATTTCTTTTTTACAGCCTATAATGAAGAGTAATATAGATACATGGGAACTTCCAGTGTAAAAAATTAGTTATTATTGCCCTTTTAGCCATGCATGGTCTTGTAACTTCCATAATGATTTTGTTGGGACTGTTCATATAGGGTGTGTGTGGCCCACCAATTGGATTGGACAACCTGCTAAGAATGCAAATAAGGTTCATGGAACCCCTCTGGGGTTGGGACCATGCAAATAAGGTGTATGGAACTCTAATAAGGGGATTGGTCAGTTTTACTGTCCTGCTGGATTTAAAAAAGAGAGTCAACCCCAGGGTAGAGAGGAGACCTTAATACAATATAGAAAGTAGAACTAAGAGTAGAATGAGTCCTTTGTACCTAGGATCCCTGTGTTGAGAACCTCCTAGACCCAGGAGACAGACAGACAAAGAGAGCTCTGGTAGTGTAGTGCCTAAGGCTAACCAGAAGGCTGGCGGTTCAAACCCACCAGCCGCTCCTCAGAAGGAAGGTTGGGTAATCTACTTCCATAGTGATACTGCCTCGGAAACCCAAGGGGAAGGGTTGCTATGAATCAGGTCCGACTCACGGCACATAGCAACAACATCAGAGAAGGTGAGAGATGGTGAGAACAGCCACAGAGAAAAAGTGGCAGTAGAACTAGAAGATTGGCATAAGAGGGTCCTCTGGGCTTCCTGACCCAAGGAGCAATATAGTCACAATGGGCATACTGACCCACAGAGAAAGTTATTAATAGTCTTTAGGCAGGAGATTCCTGGCAGAGTGGAGTGCCTCCAGGCACTTGCTGGCAGAGCTAGGCTTGCTGACCCAGAGGATGAGAGAACTGAAGAGCTGAGTGGCTTCGGGCAGGAGGCTTGCTGACCTGAGTGGAGTATTTGTAACACTTGACCAAGCAGGACAGAGGTCAAACTGAGGGCCAGAGAGAGACTTACCTACAGGCATGGCTGAGAAGCTGCCCTGACTGAACAATTGTATCCTAAATTGTTCCCAATCCTGAAATGTAATGTTTTATTTCCCTAATAAACCTCATAATCTTGAGTATTGTCTGTCAGTTGTGTGTGACCATTGCAATGAATTTTCAAACATAGCAGAGAAGTAGAGATTGACATGGGAGGGTTGGCTGGTGTCAGAATTGGTGAGGAGGTTGGAGGGTCGAGGTATGTTTGACTTCTATTACATAGAAGTTGCCCTTGTGCTGTTGATGCTGATGAGTCTCCCCCTTTATGAATTTAGACAAGGATAGGTCTATCTGTACTGCTATTCTTTCAGAATTGGAGTTAGAATAACTGGATTTAAACTGAATGAAGTTCTAGTTTGGCCCTTTGCTGGTAGTGTGATGTTAGGAATCACATGTGTGTATTCTCCCTAGTAGAATGGTACATTTATAGACTCTAGTATGCCATGACATTGGCATCTTATTCCTTTGTATAAATTTTGTCTTCATGAAAACAGATTTTTAGAATTTAGTGTAATAATAGAAGACTGAGTTTAAAAAATCAGTTAAAAGTTAAATATATAGTTCTCTTTTAGTGTGCTGGTGATGTATGGTAGCAGTAGCAGGAACGATCAATCATGAGACTTTATTTTGAAATATATTTTACTTTCCTTTTACAATTTAACAATAGTATAACTTGAATTTAGTGAATTGCCTGCTGATAAAGAATGCAATTTATTAGTATTCTAGGGAATATGTTGTTGTTGTTGTTATGTACCCTTGAGTCGTATCCGACTCACAGCGACCCCTCCTTGGGTTTCCAAGGAAGTATCACTACGGAAGTAGATTGCCCAACCTTCCTACCAAGGAATATAGGGAAGCTTACTCTGGATTAAAAATTAACCACATGGTACTGGATTAGAGTTGAGACATCAGCATGACTCACGTTTAAAGTATGTACAGATAGATACAGAAATAGAGATGTGTGTATGTATATATATGTGGATTATTATATTGACATATATTTCCTAGTTCTTTCCACTGAGAAGGCCTAGAAACACTAGCATGATCATACCCAATGCTTGGTTTCTAAATCATTATCCAATACAATAAACCAGGGCTCCTCAGAGAAGTGCTGATTTTAGTGCTGGGGCAAGAAAGATACAAGATGAGCTGGCAGTATCATGGAGTGCCAGAAAGTAAGAAAGTTTTTGGCGGGCGGGGGGAAGTGGGAAATAAAATAAAAAACAACCCCAAAGGATGGGGACATGTCAGAGGGTAACAGAAGCCAACCTGATACAACTCCCAGTGTCTGAAGCTAGAACAATTTGAGCAATAAAATAAATAATTTAGTCTTGGAATATTACCCAAAAAAGTATATTTATTAATATCAGCATGCATATATATAACTATATATAATCCACACATACACATACACGGAGAGAGAGAGATCTGCACATATGTCCCCAAAAAAACCAAAACCAAACACTCAGCTGTTGAGTTGATTCCGACTCACAGTGACACCCATTGGGTTTCCAAAGCTGTAAATGTTTGTGACAGCCTCCTGTTTCTTCCATGGGCAGCTATAGTAGGTTCAGGCTGCCAACCTTCTGGTTAGTAACCATATGCCTTATCCACTGCACCACCAGAGCCCTGTCTATCTCCATGCTGATATAAATAAGTGGTTGAATAAATAAATTTGGGAGAAAGAGGAAATCTAATAGAAGAATTTCAAATAATTTATGTAATATTCCTCCATTCAGATGTTCCCCTTAAATGTAGGCTGGAGTTAGTGACTAGCTTCCAGAGAACAGATGGAAAAGGGAGAAATAGTGACTTTACAATGGAGAAACCTGGTAAGTAACTACCTTAACCAGTTAATCAGTGCCAACATCATCAGTAAGTGATGTTGGTACCACGTATTCCCTGATGTGATAAGTATGGCACTTTAGCTCTGTGGTAGTTTTCCCAAAAACCCATACATAACCCCAATCTTACCATGAGAAGAACATTAGAGAAGTCCAAATCAAGAGGCATTTTACACAATACTTGACCTATGCTTTAAAAATAAAGGTCATATGAAAACAAGGGAAGACTGGGAAACTGATATTGGCTAGAGGAGGCAAAGGAAACATGCTGACCAAATACCTGTGGTATCCTGGGTTGGGTTCCTGAGCAGAAAAAGGACACTAGTGGTAAAACTGATACAAACTCATTAGCTTAGTTAATAGTAGTGTACCAGTGTTAGTTTGTTAATTTTGACAAATATAAGATGATCACATGTGTAACTTGGTTACGTAGGATGTTAACATTAGGGGAAACTGGGTCAAGCATATATGATAACTCTCTACTACCTTTGCAACTCTTCTGTAAATCTAAATTTATTTTGAAGTAAAACTGTCTTAAAATAAAAACCATAAGCAACAGCAGTGGATAATCTACAAATTAATAAATCTGTTGCCTTTATCACTTCAGGTGTTATAATTTATAAACCTTCTAGAATGATTTTAGGAGCCCTCTGGCTCAGTAGTTAAGTGCTTATCTGCTAACCAAAAGGTTGGTGGTTCTGACCCACCAGCAGCTCTTGGGAGAAAGATGTGGTAGTCTGTTTCCGTAAAGATTTACAACTTTGGAAACATTACAGGGCAGTTCTACTCTATCCTGTAGGGTTATTGTGAGTTGAATTTGACTTGGCAGCAATGGGTTTCGTTTTGATTTGGCGGCATAATTGGTAAATGCTTGATTGCTAACCAAAAAATTGTTTCAAACCCACCAACTGCTCCAAGGGAGAAAGATGTGACAGTCTAACTTCTATAAAGATTACTGTCGTGGAAACCCCATGGAGCAGTTTTACTCTGTCCTGTAGGTTCACTATGAATCAGAATCGACTCCTCGTCAAAGAGTTCAGTGATTTTTAAGGTGCATAGTTATTTTGTGAATGTTAAGACCTCACATCTCTGCTATTGTTTAAGATAGCTATGTTTGAAGAGCAGTGATAATTAAATTGGTTT